TATATATACAATGTATTCATATCCAACTGAAAACAACAAGTACTTAATTTTTGCAGCACTTATAAAAAATTATTTTATAAGATCTAATTTTTTTAAAAAAATATATTTTCTCATAAATTTCAAAACCACCACTATAAAATTATTTTTTTATAAGTTTGAGTGATTTTAATAAAATTAAAGTGTCGATCAAAATTCAGAGAATTCAATTATGTTTTGGATGATTTTGGACGATTTGAAAATAAATTTCATAAATTCTATTAAAGTAATTGAATTTGATTAAAATTTTTAAAAAATAGTATTTATATTAAAATTATCCATAACTTATGAAAACAACATTATGTTCTGTATTAATATAAAAACCAAAATTATATTCATTACTAATACATATCATTGATTAAAATCTCTGCCATTTCTTTTTCTAGTTCTCTCTCTCGAACACCCCAAACATCTTGATTACAAACAAATAAAGCCAATTGAAACTTCACAGGTGCGGGCCATTAGTCACATCAATCCCATCCCCTATATTAAGAAGCCCTGCATCATGCATCCATGCATTTCAGGCCTTTGCTTGCATGAAATCAAATCAACATGCACTAATGACGTGGATTGATCACTCCTAACCTCTCCATCTCATCCTTCGTGCATTACACATTTAAAATTGTGACAAGATGCCATCATGTCATACATAAATATATAAATCTTCATTTCTACTTAGTAAATAGTAAAATTTTAGATATAGCTAAAGCCAATGTACAGTAGTGTTACGCTAAAATAGTTCCCTAGCCTGCCTCATGCAAAGCCATCCTAAAACAACCTAATGGCAAAGTGCTTTCACATTTTAGTACAACAAAAAATTTCAAATATGTACGACACAAAAGCTCATGGAACCAATGATCCAGATTGTAATGCAACGCTCGATCCCACAAAGGTTGTGTCATGTAGCACTGGTGCTCCTCCTTGGATTGGATGCAGTCCAAAATAATTGTGACTTGTATCATAACTAGAAGAGCTAGGCTTTTGTAAGCAGGATTCAAGCCAGTTTGAGAAGGATTCCTCATGAGTGGGAGCTCTTTTGATTTGTTCGTTTGTTGTTAATGGATACTTAAAGAGAGAATGGAAATGGCCCGTGGAAGGAAAAGGCTGGGGAAGAGGAAAAGGGAAGAGTAATGAAGGGTTCTCTAGAGTATGAGGAAAGTGGGGATTGTGGTGGTTTTGTGGGAGAGAATTAATAGGGTTTTCTAGGTTTTGTGTATGCTCGAGTAGAGGGGAGATGCAGGAGTTGAGAGAGGAACATGAAGGGTCTAGAAAGTAGGTGGAGTTGGGGAAATATGTGTTCTTTTTAAGATCACCTCCTCCTTTGTGAAATATTCTGCATATCACCCATTCCTCCTGCAAGAAACAACAAATACATATAATAATATAGGATAAGAACAACTTAGTTAGTATGTTGGGTTGTACTCTTTAATTTCTCAACTTCTCAACTGTTGTCCATGATAGCCATGATTTTAATTATAATAACAAGATAATCTCTTCTTGTTTTTGTACTAAATAAACATTTTTTATTATTGCATTTATAGAATAAAAATGTGCATCATATATATATTTTTTCAAATGAGATAGCTAGGCTACAAATCGAGAACCACAATAGAATGACCATCAACTTATTAATTTAAAGAACTTAAATACAGTAAGTGTATAATAGCCTAGAAATTAGAGGGTATATTATGTTCAAAAATCATAATCATTCTCTTTCAAAACGTACAATACACAAATCATTACTCGAAAATAAATGACAAAATAAAAAAAACAATTATAGAAAATTGCATAGAAATTTATAAAGAAGAGATAGTCACATGAGTTTATATTATTTTTATAAAATAATTATGTTTCACAGATACCAAATACACAAAAATTAAGAAACTAAAGTTCTATATGAGAATTTAGTTGCGCAATATATCATCACTCTTTAACTATTTCAACAGGAAAATTTAATTTTATATATTGAGTAGCTTCATTTTCAAATTATAGTACATTTCCCTCAATCATAACCCTCCTTTCTCAATCCCACAAAGAAATTATCAAAAGACTTTAGCAAGTCTTTTCATATGTGATGAAGGGCAATCTATACCAGTCTCTAAAAACGTTTAGCAGATGACCAACGGTACTAACTGGTAATATATCTACAGTTAGCAAAGCTTAGAGCAGCACAGCAAGACGCAATAATCAAAACTGAATACGTTGTCAAATCACGTAAACAAAACGAAGCAATAATTAAAAGGAAGAGAGTTTTGATAGGAGAAAAGACCTTGCATGCGTGTCGGAAGGAGAAGTCGCCGTGGAGGCGATATTCGTGTAGGACCCACCGGGTCTTCTCACCGCGTGGGGCCCGTCCCTTGTAGAAGACCAGAGTCTTCTTCATGCCGACAAGTGAGCCGGTGGCCGCTGCGTGAACCTCCCGGTCTTTTCCGGTCGCCTTCCAGTAACCGGCTCCCGTCGCCCGGTTCGTTCTTAGACCGGTCGGATACTTCCTGTCCCTCAGGCTAAAGAAATACCACTCCCTCTCCCCCATCTTCGCCGCCTCTGCAATTCATTCAGAGCTGCGTTCTTATTTTTTTTCTTGTTTTGTTTGAATGGGTGCAGCTCAGAAAACTGTGCGTATTTTATTATTACTTTGTTTAGTATATATTTATGGCATTAACATGCAAAAATAAGTATATATATGTAACGAAGAAAGAGAGAAGGGACAAGAAGAATGAAGATGGGTTTGGGTTTGGTGGTGCTCAGTTGTGGAAACGAAGCAAAAGGACAAACTAAGGATTACGAAAGCTGGGAATAAAAGAGGAGAGGAAAATAGTTTTCCTTTTAGGGCGTAGGGGTTTGGCTAATGATTCCATGTTAATTTAACTGCAAATTATTTTGTCATTTAATAAGAAAATAACTAGAATAGAAGTTCTAATAAGCAAAAATAAAGTCATTTAAAACATGTAGAACTTTATTTTATTCTAAAGAGGAGTGCCATTAAAGAGAAATTTAAACTGTGCTGTTATTTTGTTACCAGCAATACCTTGTAGGTTTATAGCTGGTAGCATATGTTTCAGGAAAAACTGGAGTCCAGTAAATGACAGAGGTCGGCATTTTTAAGAGTCTGGCAATATTTAATACTGTGGATAAAACTTGGTGTCTATAATGTTTACTTGCACTTCTTTTTCATTCATGAGCATTTATCTTAACTAAAATCACATGATGTTTGGAGAATAGAACAAGTGACTAGTAGCTATATGATAATATACTGGTTGTAGTTTGGCTTTTATAATATTAACCTTGTTTTTTTTCTTTTCAGATAACATCTTATGTTTACATAAGAGTTTTATGAGTACCTGGAAGCTCCCATGGCTCACATCTATTAAGGTCAACTTCCACAATATCGACACCGCATATGTTTCCATTGAAGACTTTAGCGGCCAAGTAGAAGGTAACAAGTTCTTCGTCAGTGGGATGGAAACGGAAGCCTGGAGGCAGCCCTTGCTCTCCGCTAACTTCCTCACCAAATATTTCCCACCCCAACTCTCCTCCCATAGCACTCATCTGCTCCATCGAATTAAGAGGTGGACGAAATGGAAGAAGAGAACAAACCAAGTAGAGAAAGAAGAGGAGCAAGAATGAAGAAGGGAGGAGCTAGCTAGCTAGCTATATAGCACTATATATTGTGCATGTGAACCATGAAAAGACCTTCTATTCATTCATAGAGAAGCACTGAAACTGAAGGGTTAAAGAAGTGATGGAGAGAGAGAGAGAGAGTGTGTGTGTAGTGTGTGTGTGATGCAGTTTTTGCAGTTTTGAGTGGGGAAGTGATTAAGGGACAAGGAAGGCCGTACAAATAGCGCACCTGAAAGGGCTTGGAAAGGGAAGGGTGGGGGAAGAGGAGGTGCATGGCAGGGAAGTAAATGCGATGAGGAGATTTATGCGTGCGATTGTGAGCATGACATTGGTTCAGGGACCAGTCACAGGTGCAGGGCAATAGTGTTGCGGGCCGGCGCAGCCTGCCTGGCTGGCGACACAGCCCAACGCAAATACTGCATGTCCAAACTGTTTGTTGCTTTTGCTACCAACTTCAGCCATAAATGCGAGACAATATGATGTTTTATATCAAGAGTGGATTGGTAGATGCTTGTGGGCATGGTATGATCAATGTGTTGCTCGGGGATGATTAGTAAAAAACCAATGAAAATAATTAGAAGTTATTCTCCACGGGAGAGAATGTTATTAACCAAGCAAGTGAAGCAGAGTATTTTCTCTGGTCTAGAAATGCGAAAAATATCTTGTTTTGTGTAGATTAAATTAACTAGGTGGTTTGATGCATTAATTTACCTAATGATATTTACATCCTCTCTCTCTCTCTCTCTCTCTCTCTGGGAAAATTATTATGTTCGGTTAAGAGTGCACGTAGAGGTAGAGTTAGGTGCGGAAGCCAATTCAAAAATATCACGTGTTTTTTTTTTATTTTTTATTGTTATATTTTTTAAGGAATTCATAATAAATGAGCTAAATAACAGCGTAGGGTATTTTAACATAGGAAAAGAACACGCCAAAATTTTGAAAGCAAAATAAGAACATCAGATCTTTCAACTTTTAGGGTTTAGCTATAAGAGATTTTTTCTTTGTGGAACATCATATAAAAATCGTTGTCGTTGTCAAAACTCGGGTAGAGATTGCTGTTGTTACCGAAACTCATGAAGAATTTTAAGAATGGAGAACAACCAGAGTGGCAACATAAAAAACCCAAAGGACATATCCACTTCTTTTTCTGGTGATGAAATTATAGACTTGAACTCATTGGTAAATTTGAAAGATATGTTTGTTTACAAGTTAATATGAATGATTTTTTTTTTTATTAATTTGAGCTATTTGATGCATGTAATATTTTTTTAATTTATATTTGAAGGAGACTATCTTGATGATGTGTTGACCAATGTGTTTTAATTTTTGCTTATCCTTGTGGCTAGGATTGGCTAATTTTATCTTGTGCAGCCATGTAGTTTCTCTTATAAAAAACCGCAATATAACAATAAAAGAATTCTATAAATAGAAAGAATAAATTTATAATTTTTACATTTCCTCGTGAACGGGATTGACTGATTTATCACTATTTGTACAAACATGTTATATTGGTTGTACTGATTTATCTCAGTACAACCAATGCAACACCGTCGTACTAAAGGTTACGATGCAATGTTTTATATGTTGTAAGAAATTATAACATAAAATTAGAAATTACATACAGAAAGTATGAATTTCTAATTTATATTTTTTTCTCTTAGCTACGATTGACTAATTTACCACTATTTGTACAACCATATTGTGTTAGTTATACTGATTTATCTCATTGCAACCGATATAACAAGATTGTGTTGAAGGGAAAGAACCAATGTTCTATCAGTTGTAAGAAATCTTAACTTTAAATAAAAAAATTGTATATATAAGTATGAATTTCTAATTTTTACTTTTCTTTGTGATTATGACTGACCGAGTTATCACTACTTATACAATCATATTATTTTTGTTGTACCGATTTATCTTAGTAAAATCGATACAACACGGTTGTACCAAGAGAAATGATGCAATATTGTAACCCCTATAAAAAAATCATAATATAATAATAAAAAAATTATATATATATATATATATAGAAAGAATGAATTAGTAACTTTTGCTTTTCTTCATGGATATGATTAACTGATTTATCACTACTTATACAACCATGTTTTATTAATTGTACTGATTTATCTCAATACAGCTAATACATCACGGTTGTAATGAAGGCTAGGATGCAAAGTTTTATCTATTGTAAAAAATTTTAACAAAAAAATAGAAATTGTATATAGAAAGTATGAAATTATAATTTTTATTTTTTCTCTTACTAGGATTGACTGATTTATCACAACTTATACAATCATGTTGTGTTGGTTGTACTGATTTATCTCAATACAACTGATACAATATCGAAGAGAATGATCCAATGTTCTATCAGTTGTAAAAAATCTTAACTTAAAAATAAAAAGAATTGTATATAGAAAGTATGAATTTCTAATTTTTATTTTCCCTCGCGATTGTAATTGACTATCACTACTTGTAAAATCATGTTGTATTGGTTATACTGAGATAAATCAGTACAACCAATACAACACAGTTATGCTGAAGGGAACAATGCAATGTTGTATCCCTTATGAAAAAATGTAACGTAACATAACATTAAAACAAATGGTATATATAGAAAGAATGAACTGGTAATTTATTTATTTTTTTATGGATAGAATTCATTAATTTATCACTAATTGTAACACCACGTTCTATTAGTTGTACTGATTTATTTCAGTAAAACCGATACAATACGGTTGTATCGAATGGAATGATCCAATGTTCTATTGGCTGTATTGATTTATTTTATCCGACATTTCTAGAACCCTATTTCGGAACTTGCAAGGGATAATGTCAATCATAAGAATTATGAACCAATTACGAAAAAATTATTTGACACGGTTGTGTACAACGAGAAGGAAGCTTATGATATGTATTACTCTTATACCCACTCTTATGGATTCATTGTAAGTGAGAATCATGTGTGTTACTGATTAGGTACAATAAATATAAAATCAAAGTATTTTCTATGCTCAAAAGTTGGTTTTAAGAAAGGACCCAATCTATGCACGAGAGCGAAGTTCTCGAAATTAGACACTAGTATAAGTTGTCAGGAAAACATTAGATTTGTGTTGATTTGGAAGGTAATTGGACTATAAATAAATTCATAGATAACCACAACAAATAATTAGCCATGCCAACTGATCAACATCTGTTTAGATCACACTGGGGAATCAACAAAAACAAAGCAGATGTGTTGTAATCAATGACACAAGCAAGAATTAGAACTATTGGTACATTTTAGTATCTTGTTGAGAAAGTTGGAGGAATAGTAAATATAGGTTTTACGAGAATATATGGATATGATTGTATACAAAAAGATAAAAGAGAGAATTGAGAAAGAAGATACTAATGCTCTAATGCAATTATTTAAGGGAAAGACAGGTTGAAGATAATTTGTTTACATGAGATGTCTAATTTGATAAGTCAGATAGACGGACTAATTTTTTTTTGGACTAATGGCATAACAAGGGTTGACTACGACTACTTCAGAAAAGTCATAATTTTTTATGCAAGTTATCGACTTAATAAGTACAATTCAGCTTGTGCTATTTTTGGGGAAGTCAATCATCATTGGCAAAATATTTTGTTTGGAGTATCCTTTTTATCATAAGAGACAATTGTTCCATTTATTTGGCCATTCAAAACTTCTTTTCACACAATGGATGATAAGTAACATGTAGCAATATTCACTAATGAAGACTAAGCTATGGCAAGGGCCTTATAAGTTGTTTTGTCACACACTCGACATATACTATGTCAATGACATATTCTTAAGAAGGCTTTTTTGAAAGTTCATTGCTTCAATGACAACAAGACAGTAAAAGGACTATTTTACATATTCATGAGTAAAAGTGACACAGAAGAGGAGTCTGAGCAAGAATGGTATGTGATGATTGAAAAAAAAAACTTCAAAGGTAACGCTTGGTTAATTAAGTTGTATAAATATAAAACCAAGTGGTCTATAAAATTAAAGATGTGTTCAATATGAAAATTCTTTCAGCACAGTGCTGTGAGTCTACAAATATTGTGTCATGAAATTTCTGAGCCCACAAGCTTCATTGCCGATTGTATTTTATGATTGGAAAGATCATGAATACATGAAAAAAAAACGAAAAAGATGAAGATTTTAAATGTGATAACTTTGCAATTGCTCCAATTGCAAGAAGCAACCCAATACTATAACAAGTCGATGCATTCTACATAAGAAAGATGTATTTCTTCTTTGAAGAAGAATATCTACATAGGGCATGCAGACTAGAGGCAAAAAAAATTAGTCAAATTTCTTCATAATACATTGTTAGAAACTTGGATAGCAGTAGAAACTCTAAGATTTGGACTGTCCAAATGATTAAATTAAATCCATTGCACTGTTTAGTTTTAGGAAATTTGAGATAATTGGTTTACTTTGTTCCCATTATATTAAAGTTTTGTAACCAAAATATGTTAGAATACCAGAAAAGTATCTGCTAATGAGGTGGTCAAATAAAGCAAAGAAAAATATTAACCCTGATACTACTTATAAGAAAATTAGAGAGTTTGAAGGAAGTAGTGGGTCGTCCACATCTTTTATATTATGTAATCACCTCATCAAGTAATCGTATCAAATAAGTTGTAGAGCACAAGGTAACGTATAAGCAGAATAATAAATGTTAGATACCTTGAAGAAGTTATCAGAGGATATTGAACAAATACGTGGAGGGAACTCACCTCAATGGACAAAGTTTGTAAAGAGGAAAAATACTACTGAGAATGATGATGTTCAGGCAAAAGACCAAGTCAAAATGCGACTAGAGGGTGTTACTGATGTAAAATTGAAATCTCACCTAGAGAAGAAAAAAAAATAAAAGTAATTCTTATATTAGTTATTTTTACATTTTTCGTAAACT